TTGGATTTGTCTTTGTCCATCCTAGGATAATAAATCGAAAAAATCCAACAAAAAAAAAAACAAAAAAAAAAATTATCTATTTTACTTATTTATGAAAAAAACTCACTAAGCCCGCATACGGCGCCATCTCTTATAACCGATACCAAGTTTACCGTCACATTTTCATTGCAAACCATGTGGATTTAATTGTCACACACTTTGCACAAAAACAATTTAAGGAAAGCACTTTATTTTTAATTGTTCTTCACAGTAAAAATGTCCAAAAATAAATAGAATGACAATGTTTTAATTGTGTATTTTATTTTGTTGTTGGTTCGTTCATTCCGAAAGAGCGCGAACTGGTCTACCTGTCATTTCTTGACGCTTGACCATTGACGTTCTGTGTCTAAGTTCCGTTTCTCCTCTTAGGCATCCCTTGACAGCCGTGTTCCGTGCCGACTGTTCGGAGTGCTCCGTCCGGCTGGTGTCGAGTGGCAGAGAGCCAGGTTATGAGTCCGCCACAACCATTTCGTATACGGTGCCATATATGATAGGTACCTAGAACGAAGCTCGCCGTTGCGCGGTAATTTCATTGCAGATACAGTAGAACAGAATACTGCTAAGGAACTGGAGCTATTCTGAACAGAACTATTCCACTATTCCGATCAGATAAAGTGGTGCAGAAAGAGTAGATCAGATAGAATAGTGCAGATACAGTAGAACAGATAGAGTATTGCAGTGCATGCAGTGCAGATAAAATGAAACAGGGCTGCGCTGGAGATTTTTTTTGTTTTCTTTACATTTTTTGAACATTCCTGTGTCTGAGTTTATTTATTTGGTGGTACACTTTATAAGAATATTGCCCACAAGATGCCTAAAAAGGGACGATGTAAAATTTTAATTTTAGGTGACTTTTGATCCAGAGAGTAAAAATTAATTTTCTTCGACCAAAGCCAAATTCACCATCGAAAAAAACTGAATTTAATTCAGTTAATAGATACGTTAACACAACATTTAATAGATATTTAATAATTCAGAGGAGGTACGAAGTTCGCCGGGTCAGCTAGTTTACAATAAATTTCATCCTCTTCTTCCGAAAAAGTTCTGAATAAGTCAAGCTCTTCTTCAAAATGCCCCAAGTCTTGTTGTATGGGCACACTGTTTGTAAAGAGCCTTGACGGCTACTGCCGTGGTACCACAATAGAACCTTCTATCAGGGGCCAGAGGGGCATCTGTCTTGTTGGGGATGAGGTATCCATCATCTTTTCTCATCGATCCCCAACGTTCAGCTCGGAGGGATTCGTTCCCCAACCATTGCTGTACCTGCAGATATATACAATGTAGGAATGTTATTCTAGCTAGTTACTCCGGAGCAGCTCCAGTTGCAAATTAAAAATGGATGGATTTTACGTTCATATTTAACCAATGATTTAAAGTAATTCTAAGTCTTTTTGACTTTCTCAATTTAATTAAGTTGGACATGTTTTGATGAGAAACTGTAAACTTGTTCCACGTATTTAAACTTGGAGGCCCAGTAGCTTTGCCAGTAGGCTGACGTACCACAAAATTTTAATAAAATGTCAACTATACGAATGTGTGGATGACTCCACGAATAAACACCGAGACGAGCGCTTGTCTCCTTTGATTGATGTACGCTACGCTCGTGGTCCAATCACATTTAGTCCAAAAATCAGGCTCACTTTGCAACTTTTTACATAAATAGCTAATTTATCCAACTAAACAGCATACGAAGTAGTTAAGAGAGTAAAAGATCTTTAAAACGAAACTTGAAATGTTAAAGCTTATCCCAAAACTTCCAAACACTCTAACCACTTACTGGGACAGGTAAAGTAACAAAATTATATCTATACACGCTTTTGAAAAAAATTTTTTGGTCTACCACTATTTTTCTCACTGTAATATCAAGAAAAAAGTTACAATAGGAATATACGAGATACCTTAACTCCTACCACTTTTTTTGACAAATTTCCATATTCAGCGGCACATATCTGAAAAACGGTAGCACTTAGATGCAAATACAAATACATCATGAAAAAAAAAAAATCATTTGGGCGCGGCACTCGAAAAAAATTTCTTCCTCCGGCGGCGCCTGCGGCAGGCTTTATCCCCCCCCCACGAAAAAATTTACCCACGACGCTATTTTTTTTTAGGCTGTTTCCCTTTGTTACGGGCGGCCACTGAATAACCCTCTTTCCCTTCACCTCCAAATAAATTTCTAGGGCGGCATTTCTTATTTTTGCCCAGGGTGGCCGAAAGACTAGAGCGGGCCCTGATTAGACGTTGTTTAGGCCATCATCCCAGGGTTGCCAGTCTAGTACAATTGTACTAGATGTAGTACCTTTTCAAAGAATCTTGTACATTAGTACGTTTGAATAGAATTCCTAGAAAAGGCGTGCTCCCCCCCGTAAGAACCATATGCCTCTAATGGCCGTTTGCACCAACCGTTTTAAGGAAGCCTTAGTGATAGGTATTCCTTAAAATGACATTTTTACATGGAGAAATGTCACTTTAAGAAATACTTATCGCTAAGGCTTCCTTGAAATGGTCGGTACAAACGGCCATAAGACTAATATAATTCAAATACATATTATCTCAAACCATGTTCAAAACATAAATCAAATGTTAAACAACGCACTTTTTGCATTCGTTAGTGGTATTATCACTGCTTGCTGCTTGTGCGACATAATTGTGTTCACGATCAGCAATTTCAAGCCCTGTAAAAAAAGCTTGCTGAATAAAATATATGTCAATGAAATTTTTATAAATACAGTGTGTCAATTTGAAAACTTCCCACCTCTATTATCTCAGAGTAGAAAAATTTTGAAAAAAATCCCTGAAACACGTCAACTATAATTTGAAAGGGGATGAGTTTTTATGCAAAATTCACCACCACTCTTTCAACCCCCCAACCCCCAGAGCCACCCCCTAGAAAATCTTAAATGGGAAGGGGGAGTCAAGTGATACATCATATTGGAGGGTTTTTAATTCTATAAATTTTGGTGTTAAATTTTAATCCCTAAGTTTAACTGTTTTGGAAATATTGACAGTTGAAAATTGACTTTTTTGCAACTTTGACAGGCTGTAAAACCGATTTCACATTCTTAGATTTTCATAAACTATCATTTGACACCGACTTCGAATTTAACCGGAGATTAAATTTTTAACCGAAATTTTTGATCATGGATTAAATTCGAAGTTGCTGTCAAATGATAGTTTATAAAAATCTGAGATAAGAATGTGAGATCGGTTTTCCTTTGAAATTAACCGTTTAGGCACAGCATATACAAAAACAATCAACAGGCTAACTTGAATGACAGCCCGTGTAATAAAGGAATTCATGGTCAAGATGTCACTAGCGGCCATTTTGGGATACGAGACAGGGCCTGATTAACAATAATTTAGGTTTTTTCTTTCGTGTCACAGAGTCGTATTTGCTTTAAAAAACCAATTTATTATTACTTACATAGGTATAATAATATTTATAATTAGTAATTTATTATTATTATTAAATATACAACAATGATAACAGATAACACCATAAATGACACCACGAATATACTAAAATAACTTTGAAAATCATAACTAAAATTCCGCTCTACACTGCACGCCTATGACCTCTGTCAGAAATAAACAAATAAAATAAAATTTCGGCGACCCTGCCGTTTAATGACAGGATGTTATCCCCTAATGGTGGCGTGCTCAGAAAAGACGCGCGTGAGAGTTAGCCTGCTGATTGTTTTTGTATATGCTGTGGTTTAGGTTTTACAGCCTGTCAAAGTTGCAAAAAAGTCAATTTTCAACTGTCAATATTTCCAAAACAGTTGAACTTAGGGATTCAAATTTAGCACCAAAATTTATAGAATTAAAAACCCTCCAATATGATGTATCACTTGACCCCCCTTCCCATTTAAGATTTTCTAGGGGGTGGCTCTGGGGGTTGGGGGGTTGAAAGAGGGGTGGTAAATTTTACATAAAAACTCATCCTTTTTCAAATTATAGTTGACGTGTTCCAGGGATTTTTTTGAAAATTTTGCTACTTTGAGATAATTAGACTATCCAAGATGCTGTCAAACTTGAAATAAAATGGCCGCCAAGAGGCACACAAACCCTTTGTTTATGTGTCATCAAATTTGTCATCAAATAATGTATGAGCTTAAAATAGGGCTCATTGTGAATCATTTGTGTTCTGATACTTAAAACTGTTATTTTCATTAATGTTAGAAATGGTGTATTTGAATAATGTATGTAAATAGTAGTAAATAGTTCTCAAAAACGCGAAAAACATGCCTACAACGTGTTGTAGCATTAAATGTGGAAGTCGTGGAGATCGGCACATTCTTAATTTTTATCAAATTCCAAGTGAAAAAAACAATACAAATCAAAACACAACACTGTACGGTGGAGTTGAATTAAACAAATATTTTCACATCAAGGGTAGATCCTGCGTGTCCAAGTGAAATGCAGGTAGAGCAACCTTGCCCAAACGATAAGGATTGCGTAATAGGGTGGAAACTGGCAAAAATTGGGACGCACACAATAGAAAATAAGTATTGAATTATGATTATTAATGACATAACATAATGACGTTATGGTTTGTGTTTGTGTCAATGTTTGTGTGCCTCTTGTCGGCCATATTTTTCTTGTCAAAGTCACGTGTTTTGGATAGTCTAATAGGGGTGGGAAGTTTTCAAATTGACACCCTGTATATGTTTTTTAACGAATTGATCAAAACTGCGAGTGTATTATAATTTGATCAATTCCCTGTTCTTTTGTAAATAATTAATTTCTCTCCCGCTTCTGGTAGAACCTCGCAAATAGTGTCAAAACGTATCAAAAACACCCGGATTAAAGAGTAAATTAGCGAAGACACCAGCAAGCGAACCTTTAAATCAGTAAAAGCTCCACAGGTTAAATAACAATTTCGTATTATTCGCGAACATTATTTAATGCCGGTAACATTCGAACATGTGCAATATTCACCCCTTTTCTAACTTTTCCAGGTCGCTTCCAATCGCATCGTGCAATGACCGAGGGTTGAAGAAAGAAAACCCGTTTTGCCGCCCCCGATAGTGCGATGCTGTCGGCTGGCATGGGTTACGGGGCCGCCCCCGGAACGATGACGGGCACCACGCCTCCCTATTCTCCCCCTTTGGCCCGTCATAGCCCCCTACCAAGCTTCGGATTTACGCAGGAGCAAGTCGCTTGCGTGTGTGAGGTAGGTAATAGATCCACTTATCTTTTTTTTTTTTGGCCTTTTAAACTCATGTTCATGTACTTCCTTGAAGATTATGTTGGAGTACGAGCATGTGATTAAGTGAAATAGCTTAGGAAATTGCTTATTGGCTCTTTAAATTGGATTTATTAGGTCATTTAGGAAATTGTTGGGAGTTTGATTTAATATTGAAAATCCGAAGACACAATGATTGTTTTATATGGGAACTACCCACTTATTGTACTTACTTGGTTACACAAGCAGTAAAATATCAAATGAAAAATTACAGGCAGAAATACCTAATGGTCGTCGCAGAAACACCCACGGAGCCATATAGCAAACCTCAACATATCCCTCAGGGCCGGCTGGGTAATATGAGATCGAAAACTTAAATTTCTCGGGAATGATAAATTGGAACCTGCGACATGTCCCCAGAACCCGTGGGTGAAAAATCTTGCTGATTTGGCTTGCGTTAAACCGTTTAACGATTCTTCTTAATCGCAATGATGCTGATGCTACACTGTGAGGAAAAAAAACATTGTATAACCATTACTAAATAACTAGCAACGACAGCAAAAAAATCTATAAGTAACGTTATGGCCATGGGGAAAGAAGGATAATGTACCTATTTGTTTGGCGCAACCGAAATTGATTTTTTGTTCATAATTAAACAGTTGATATGCTTATTATATTTGAGATCAAGTAAATTAGAAGAAAAAAAATGTATTCTCACTGACTACTTAGGTACTCTGGATATATTTACTGGTGTTTCCAAAAAAATCTGGCTAAGAAATAACAATAAATTGCTGATAATATTTTTCTGTGATAACAAGGAAACTGCTAAACGCTAAAAAATATGAAAAATGTTTTCTTTTTTTCATTGAAAAATGCGATTTTTGTCTCTGCCTGACCAGTGATAGGCAAATTGGTTATCCGACCATCCAGAAGAAAAATCCAGCATCGAGCATATTTTTTTAAGCTAGGTACTTTTGGTTCCACGTCTTATAATGTTTTTGCTATTTTTCGCTTAAATTATTTCCTGTAATGAAGTTATCTTGTTTTCTACCTGTCATATAAAACATCCCCTCTTCTACCCCACGCTGTATCCTATTTTCCCTTACCAGCATAGTATAGGAAATTGGCCAACACCACCTTTTATGGATCAGAGCCCCTGAAAGGCTTTAGTCTCCGGCAGCTCAAAGTCGCTCGGGGAGACGAAAAGTATTCGAGGTGGCTTATAGAATCGCCAGACAAGACTGTATATTTTCATATACAACAACAGGACAGAGGTTCTTCTGACGATAAACTGGAAAAACTGTAAGAACAAATGGGATGCATATTGTATATAATAATTGTATAAAATAACAAAATGTGTAAAGTTTGTTTCGCCAGGGTTTGTACTTGCCACCAGCATTTACCTTCCTAGTTTAACAAATAAAAATTGACTGAAACAAATCAATGACGTCAAAAACGTTCGTCGGTTCTTAAATCAAAAGTCATTCATTTTACTTTGTCAAAAAAATTGAATGTGTCATATGAATTATTCTACGACAACCCTTTTTTTCCAAGTTTCAAGGTCAAGTATGAACCCTGGTGAAACGAACCTTACTTACGGCCGTTTCTACGGCCGTTTCCACCAACTATTTTAGGGAAGCCTTAACGATAAGTATCCCCTAAACTGACATTTCTCCATGGAACACTGTCAGTTTAGGGAATACTTATCGTTTAGGCTTTCCTAAAATAGTTTGTGGAAATGGCCATTAGTAAAATATGAAATCACAGTGAAATTGGTAGTCGAAAGGACATGTTCAAAATTTGTACTTAAGGAACTCTTAAAACGAGTAAAAACATTTTGAACACAAAAGTTGCTTACCAAGCACCTACTCTTGAATTTGCCTCATTCTAAGCTTTTCATGTGATTCGGACAAGTATTTAACTGAGATAGCCTGTATCCGTTTAGACACCTCTTTAAACTATGATAAGCTGGGATGATCAAGTTTTCCTGTTTTGTTTCATAGCTGTAGCAGCTGCGGACCTCATCATGTACCCTGATTTATCCTCGTTGTCCTTCACATACAGCAGATTTTCAAGTATGTGTAGTGAGATGGTAAAGTAAGTATATTTAAACTTTTAAAGGCCAGTCCTCCCTGAAACCTACCCCGCCATGATTCAGATAGCCCTTCTCTGAAGCGCAAAGAATCTGGCCACAAGGGAGGAGTGACCCCAAATACCATAAGTCATAACACACTGAAACTGAAATAAAGCATAGTCCGAAATTTTCACCACATTATCTCAGACACTATGGGAGAGATTACGGAGAACACAAAGAGCCTTGCTAAGCTTTGATGAAACCTGATCAATTTGGGCGTCCCATCTGAGAGTGGGATCAATGTAAACTCCAAGAAATCGCACCTTCCTCATTTCTTCATTAACACCTTCGGAGTCTCTGAGGGAGGAAACCAATTTTTCTATTTGTCCTAGAATTTATTTATCAACACCCTGTTCCCTGTATGTTAGTTACACTTTTATGCAATCCTGATTCCTTGACAACGACGGAACCCCCATGATCAACTCCCATCTTGAGAAATGGTCTTGCAATTATTAAAGTGTTAAATAGCTGTAGTGCATTAGAAGCTATTTCAACAGCGGCATTTACTACAATTTTTTTTCGTTGTTCAGGAAGACCCACGTTTTCCTGATTGATTTCCCTTTAGGTCTTTTAAACACAACACTGGGATCATACAAAAACTGTGGACCTTGAATTGTAATCTGCGGAATTTTGGTCACCAGATACATGAAGCCAAATATTATTGGAAGTGAGCTCTATGGTATCTCTGACACCCGGTTTGGAACAAATGTATAGTCCATCGGTTGGGATCGCTGAGAATCCAAAACTTTCTTAGAAATTTCAACATCAATTATCGATCATAATTTATGACAAAACTTTGCCATCAATACCGCACTACAAAGCTCCAACTTCATCATTTTCATATATGGTTCTAAGATATAAGCATGTACCTACCATATGTCTTTTGTGAGGCGTCTGCGAATCCGTGAAGTTCAAATAATTTAATTACCCTATTGGGTTGAAACAACGAATAATTTTTGTTAAATGCGATATGTGTTTGGCAAAGGAAAACCAATATTTTCGTTAGACGGGATTTCATCCATCATTGTATGTTGCTTGCCCAAATCCGCTGCATAATGATCTTCGCCCTAACTGTCACAGGAGGTTGCTATTTAATGCCCAGAACTTTGCTCATACATTCATCCGCATGAAATTCAATCTCAACCGAACCACTATTTTTGTCTAGGTTAAAATCTTGTATAAAGCCTGGAAAATTCGAAACCCATTTATGCAAATCAAATGCACCCTGAGCCAGCAAATCAATTAATTGATCACGGAGACTTTCTAACCCTTATTGGATAGTGTCAGACCCACTCAAAATATCATCAACGTAACACCACCGGCGTATAAAAGGGCGGGGGGGGATGGGTAATGGGGGTTATCACCCCCCTCCCCAAGATCGTAGCGATGAACGAAAAATATGTAACCGACAAATAAATCTATTTTTTATATTTTTATTTTTCAGCAATTGGCCAGGGCCGGGAATGGTTATTTTGTGAAATAAATAAAAAATAAAGTCAACCTTCTGCCACGTTGCCAAGTACTACTGCGACGTGGCTGCGTTCTAAAGGCTGACGCGATCTCATTCTTATTCCTCTCTTACTCAGATTGAACTCGTTTTCCAGTTTGCACAGTGTCCGCACTGCCCGCGTGCCATTTATAGGGAATTCTATTGAAAGGGATAGGGCGCACTGAGTGTATTCGTGTCTTTTTCTAATACACCGGTGCGTAAAATTGCTGGTAGAGGCCCTCAGAAGCAAGTGGTTGTGATTCTGCTCTCTCTCTAGCCAACTGTATAAGACATCTGGTTGCTAGATATGGTGCACTATTTGTTCCATAGCTAACCGTTTGTAACTCAATGCCTACCAAATCCTCGTCTGGACTATCCCGCCATAATACATTTTGAAAATGTGTGTGTTTCTCATCGACTAAAGCCTGTCTAAACATTTTCTCTACATCTGTCATGAAAACATAAATAAAGAACCTAAACCTACAAACTATATCAAAGAGATCAGCTTGAACTATAGGACCCTTGTACATAACGTCATTCAATGACAGCTCAGAGGTAGTCTTCATCGAATTGTCAAAAACTACCTTGAACTTAGTAGTTACACTCCCTTCCCTCACGACTGCCTGATGTGCGATGAAATTCCTGCTACTTTTCTCATCCTCATTCAAACATATAGGTACCTATATTTTGCATAACCGAATCTTATATATTCATGAATATATTGTTGATACAATTCTTTATTCTTAATCAATCTCCTTTCTAAGGTATAATATCTACGTTCAGCAATATCAAATGACTTCCCCAAATTGAACCTATATACCTATATCCCTCCTGAAAGGTAAATTTACTAATAAACCTTCCCTGTTCATTTCGTTTAGTTGTTTCAAATATATTTTTACATTTTTTGTCATCTGGTGATAACCTTCTTTTCTCAGATAACTCCTCTAATGGCCGGAATTTTGGAATCATCTTCATTTTTCAAAAATAAAACAACACTCGCATTAGTTGACACATTCGCCGTGATAATCTTGATGTTAACCCTAAATGAACCACCCAAAATCCAACCTAATTTAGTAGTAACTAATATTGGCAAACTCGACCCGAAATTTATTATCCCAGGTTCCAACAAATTAAAATACAAATCTGCCCCAATTAATATATCAATTTTATCAGGAATATTGAATCTTATATCTGCTAGATTAATATTAATTAGAATATTAAGACGTGAAGACTGAAGAGTCAATAACTGTCTGTGGCAAATTACAAGTTATTCGATCCACAACCCAAAAATTCACCAACAATTAGTCGTCAGAAAATTTCGAGCTTAAATTTAAACTAACCGTTCTACTAACTCTACTCTTGTTTTGTGTTACCGCTGAAATTTCTAAATGTATGGGTTTCATCTCTGCCCCTAACAACTTTACCGCATCAGTGGTAATAAAGCTTGATTGTGAAGCTGAATCCAACAGCGCCCTGAATTGGTAAAATACCCCATCAAATACCTTGGCTTTGACGATTGTCGTTGACAACAAAATTGGATCCTGGTTTCAGGAAGTCAAACCTTCCAATTCAACATTGTGCTCAATATTGTTAGTAGTATAATTTGTAACTTGTTCGACATTTCCTTCGCTCTGAGGCACACTGTTGGAGTTTACTTGTTCATTTTCCCCACCCCGAGAACTTATATTATTCAAATTATAACTTCCATTGTTGTTTCTATTTTCATGCAATAAATTGTGAACAGACTCTACATTTTCCTCTAGTATAATCTACAACCCTATATCCTGCATTAAGGCTATTAAAGCATAGTCTCTGTTCTTCTTTTCCTCCAAATCAATCCCTCAAACTTTCTACATCTAGCAATACTATGATTTACACCATTACAAAAAATACATTCGAAGTTACCAGTATGCTGGACTACAACACCTTTTTCTTCATGATTCTCCTCAATATTTTCATCATCACTGTTATCTTCAAATGAAGCATGCACTAAATTGAAACTTCCTTACCCTCGTATTTTACCCTATTTTCCAGGCCTTTGTTCTTATCAACATTCTGCTCTGAAATCTCCCAAGCACTTATCTTTTTATTCAAGAATTCCAATAGCTCCTCCAAAGTGGGCAGTACGTTCTGATCCCTACCTAACTCAAATTCATTTCTCAAAAATTTGTCCAACTTAGATGAAAATATGTTCACCAAAATCAAATCCCAATTTTTAAATATTTGCACATTTGATGCTTCCAAAGCATTATTATGCGGTTTGATCTTTGAAACAAAATCCCTCAAGCCCTGAGAATTTTTATTATTTAAATTAACGTTTAGTAACCCAATAATGTGGTAGATAATTATTGTCAATTCTTTATCATAATGATCTTTCAAAATATCAAATGCTTTTTGGTAATTACTATCAGTTATTGTTAGCTCAGAAATTAAAAAAGGGCTCCCCGGAGCTGCAAAATCTGAGTTTGAATAAGTTGTAAAAAATACGTTTTTTGGCTCGCAATCCCCAACATTAGCAATGAGATTTAATATACCTAAAATAGTACTCCTGCCTACTAAAAACCAAATTGACTCTTAATAAAGCACCCGTTCCCCTCGAAGCACCTCACACCCTCAGTGTCATGCACCTCTCAACAAATTTTAATAACACCGGCAACAGTGAGATGAGCCTGTACAACAAGAGGCTTCTTTAGAATATCAGGAAAAACATTCTGGCGAAAACAGTATTTAATTATTGGATTTACTGAAATAATTATAAAGTTTTTAATGGATTTAATCAATTAGATGTTCAAACCAAAAATATCACCTTACTTTTAATGTCGTCTATGATATCCCTAACTTCACTCCAAACTACAAGAGACAGGAGGAAAAGTAAAAATATGTTGTTTTGTGAAGGACCAAGTTCATTCTGACCAATCTTGCTAGTGAGACCCTGTGCAATGCTGCAAAAGTAGTCATTGAAATCAGTAGGTTAGAAAACTGAACTAATCTCCTCGCGAGAGTCCACATTTCTTGATTTATTTATGATTTTCCACATTACTTTTACTGAATTTTTAGCTGACAAAATTATGCTGTCAATATATTGTACCTACTTTAGCAAATGCTATTTTGCATAAAACATTTTTTTGAATAAGACTTGAACACATAGATGGCAGCGGAACTTTTATATCGCCTACTAACCTCACCAAGCAACCTAAGTCGATCACGCATAAGCCTCAAACTGTTATCAAACCGGGAGCCATTGCCATCAGGTTCATTGGTTTTATTTGATAAGAAACTCATTTAACAGTACTTTTAGAACGAATCAATTCTCGGAAGATATTGATTGAAAAAGACAGAGGAACCTAATGAATTATGCCCTTATGCCATAAATGACATAAGGTTCGGAAAAGCTCTTGAAGATGATGGCATGATAAGTAGAACAACTAAAGGGCCCCATACACTATCACGATGAAACACGTCGTTCTAAAACCGAAGTGTGTAATAGAAAAACACGATGGTTTTCTACAGAGCCCCACAGACTACGAGGAAACACGGCGGTTTTCATCGCCACGATGAAACACGTCCTTCCAAAACCGAAGTGTGTGGTAGAAAACCGTTCGTGTGCACGAAATGTTGAACCGTCGTGCCAAAAATCAAGCTCGGACTGAATTTTAAACCGACGATGAAACACGACGGTTTTCTACCACACACTTCGGTTTTGGAACGACGTGTTTCATCGTAGTCTGTGGGACCCTGTAGAAACCCGGCGTGTTTTTCTACGGTTTTCTACCACAAACTTCGGTTTTGGAACGACGTGTTTTATCGCGGCGATGAAAACCGACGAGAAAAAACGTAGTGTATGGGACCCCTTAGGCAGGCCGGGAGTTCAGTCATACAATATGCCATCATTATTCTCTATAATTTGAGTCACAGAGGAAGAAAGGTTAATGTCTCTACTTGAAACAATCGGAATTGCAATGGCAGTCGCTTGACTCTTGACACCGAAATTCGAATTTTGTCAAACACGGGGCTGAGAAGCTGCTTTGGAATAATCGATCACTTGCTCGCAATATTAATTGAAAAATGTATGGAGTATAACAAACCACAAACCATTAGGTACCTAATTCTAATTTTTGAATACGAAAAAGCGATCAGTCAACCGCAATTCGAAGCTCTTACTCAATGTCGTGTAGATTCCAGATATTTTAACGACGTCAAGCATATTTAGGACCCATGCTACAGCATAAGTCAAAAAAAGACAATTAAGCACACGAGTGGAGTCATGTGGGCAGCATTTGGAAAATTAAATCATATTTTAAGCTTGGGTGACTGAGAAGAAAAGTATTTGATCTACGTGTATTCACTGGCATAGCCAGGGGGGGGGGCAAGGGGGCATTTGCCCCCCCAAGACCCTCAAATTTTATGAATATTTCTTCAAAATTTAAATAATCAGTCCCAAAAATAGCGTAAAGAAACCTAAAAAGGGGCGTGGCACTCAAAAATTTCGCGCCTGCGGCGCTTTGTCTCCGGCAGCGGTCGCGGTGGGGCCGCAAGAAACACTTCCTGCAAATTTGCCCGCCCCACTACGCCACTGCGTGTATCAGGGGCGTCGCGTCGGGGGGGTAATGGGGGTAATTACCCCCCCCCAGGATCCAAAATTCAAGGGAAAAATTACGATGCCCAAAAGAAAATACATATTAATATTAAAGAAAATCCTTTTTTTTTTTTTATTATTTTCCTCGCAAAGGAAATTATTGTTCTGGAAAAGTGAATGACCTTGAAATTGGCAAAAAATTTAGCCTGCGGCGCGTTAGCGGGGGGTCGCATCTTCCCATTACCCTCCCCAGACTGCAAGTCACGCGTCGCCACTGGCGTGTATTGCATTGCCTGTACTATATGGACGTGAAACTGATGAAACACTTGAAGTGAAGTCACCCAAACTAACCCAACTATCAACTATAAATCAGGCTTACATCTTCCACAACATTAAAGTGAATCGAAAGTAATTAGGTACATATTTTATAAAATCGGATTTTCATCTTATTACACAAGATTTATTACTTTTTCCTGCAATTTTTCGTCATTATTTTTTCACTTTCCGAAAAATATCTACCGAAATTATAGCATAGCAGGCGCATTTTGGCTTTCGGTAATTTTATGGCCAGAAGGTGATTTATGTTATTGAATAATTATAATGAAAGCATTGCAATAGAGGCAGAGAGGAATTACAGATTAAATACATATACTGTTTCGTATGTAGGAATATCTGTTCTCTAATGCAAATCATCGCTATAAAATAACTTCTAAAACAAAGTTAAATAAATAAATAAACTGGCATTTAATGGGGGCATTTATTGCGTCGCTCTTTTAGCGATTATTTTGTTTTTGTTTATATGGGCAACGTTTCCTGCCTGAATGTTTTTCATGTAACTCGATCTCGCTGTGCTTTCTGGGTGCACTTTTGGGTCTTTTTACGAGCACAGCTCATAACAACCGACAGAACAAAAATCAGCATTCTTCTCTCTGTCTCGAAACAAATGGCCGACAAGCCGACACACATGGAGAAATTGTGTTATTGACACGTATTTGAGCTTTTTGTTTTTAAATAAAATTATGATTAATTTTTGAGAAAAATTCCATAAATTAAAAGTTGTATCAAAAAATGTTCATGCAGAGAATGTCTAATCAATCCCCATGTTTGCAAAGTTGATTATTCAAATGTGAGAACAATGCTGTGAAAATGCTTCAATGACTACCGAGCAAATTCCGTTATTATCGCGTAATTACACAATGAGTAATGTGATATCGGCGAGACCAAGTTAACATAACATTGATTTTATTATTTATTGGCCAAATTATCGCTGCAGCTCTGATAAAATTTCTTTGTTGTCTGAAAATAATTAGCTGGCGATATCGCTATAATAGCTATTGTATTGCGGATTTTAAATGACGTCGGCATTTTAATGGTTAGATATTATTGCAATTTGTCACTGCAGAATTATGAAAGCGTATGTTTGGAAAAATTAATAAGGAAGCTAAAATATTTTGGAATTTGAATGTAACGATGACATTGAAAATAACCTAATCTTAGATTACTAAGATCGAGATGCTATTTTAAAACTGACTCAGTTTAGTATAATGTGGATCAACTTTTTGTATGGAATTTTGGGTTTTCTTTATGCAAACTTAACGCAAAGGTGCATAAAAATTTATTTCAGAATCGTCGTCGTATTTCGCTTCTAATTTTTATTCCATATCTGCGTTTACCTACGTCTTGAATCATTCGCCTCTCAAAATCTGACCACTTACTTCTCCAATATCTTTTGAGCTGTAGTTAGTGGTTGCCATTCTGCGAGGTTTAATCTAGTTAAAGGCCTTTGATGCTCCATGATCGCAGACTAAGTAGGCGATCTCCATAAAATGTATCATATTTCTCAGTAGTTGTTTTAAAATTTTAATTATTCGTTCATCTTCCCAATCAAGATGCTAGAGGATTGAATTCCTATTCAATTATTCATCAATACTTTTCCTAGATATTCCCAATACAATATGAAAAAATAAAGGAAAAATGTTCCATTAAAATTTGTCTCATTATTATGGTAGACGCTCAAACTCGTCTGGCAAGCTAATGTGAATAACAATCAATGGACATTGATGTTGACACTTCGATATAGGCAGCTCGCTACTCTGAGGACAAAAAATATATGAATTTTGATTCTTTGTTGGGAGCTTCCTATGTTTTTTTTTTGGTAAGGTGGTGGAAATGCGCCTTATGCACACCCAGTTTAACGTGAACTGGGTAGTGTGGGGCTCTCTCTTCACAAAGTGCAATGTGAAGAGCATACCGACTAAAACCACACCCCGTCTGCAGGGGCTGGACTGCTGTGTCGTGCCCTGCTTCCAGTTACGGACTATTCAGTTTGATTAACCGGTGTCTCATTTTTGGTAAACCCTTTTACTCCTTTTTTGTAGGAGCGCCTCTTTGTTTTGCGTCTATGTGCTTTGTGCTCTTTGTTTGTCATTTCTTGATGATGGTCTTGTTGTGGGTGGATCCTTCCTAGCTGAGCGGTGCCTCCCTGCGGCAGCTATTCCGGGGGCAGTTGTTCCTTGATGCGTCTAAACAGATCCTTGGGCCTTTTGTGGTAGGTAGTGTGTAGCTGCCTTTCTTCTGTTGGATCATAGGCCGTCAGGTTTCGAAGATCATCGTTCGGGTGAATTGCAATATTAGCATGAAATTTGGTTGCTTTATTCAGAATGAATTTTTTCAATGAAATCCATTTTAAGTCCCTGTGGAGGTCTGAGTTTCTCATATACCATGACGAATCTGCACGTTAGATCTTATTTTCTGTCTGTTCCATCTTCTTCATATGGCTCTTACACACATGACCCCATCAGGTAGTAGATGCGTTAGATGCGTATGCCAGCTGTGATCTTATGACTGCTTTAATGATGTTAATTTTAACTCGTAAGCTCATGGAGCTCCTTCTACCCCAAAATTGGGTATAATTGGTAAATTGCCATTTTGGTGTAAGACCCCCACGTAAGCCTCAAGTCCATGTGGAGAGCTAAGTATTTGACCTCTTATTTCACCTCCTATTCTAATGTTGGGACCAATATGCGTTTTTGCTGCATTGATTTTGATCTTATTTAGGTTGCACCATTCCTGAATTAAATCCATTTGATTTTGATATCTACTGATCATTGTGGTGTTCCTGTGTCTGATCATTATAGCCGTGTCGTCGGCAAATATAGTGCTGCTTTTATGTGGGGGTTGGTTGGGAGGTCGCTTATGAAAAGGCTGTAAAGCAAGGGTCCTAGGACAGAACCTTCGGTACTCCTGCCTCAATTCTTCTGGTAGAAGATAACTGGTTCCCTATCCTCACTTCAAACTCACGGTTTGTGAGATAGCTGTGAATAAGTTAGCACCATTTAGGGGATAGATTCCAAGCTTCCATCTTTTCTGCCAGTCTTGAATGCCACAGCTTGTCAAACGCTCTCTCCACATCGAGCATTACAGCTCCGGTTTGCCATTCTGTTATTAAAACCCTCTGTGATGTATTCTGTTATGAGTGTTTGTTGTTCAGCCGAGTGTCCTGTCATGAAGCCAAACTAGAAATCTGGAATAGTCTCATATTTTCTATCTCCTGTGACAGTCTTTTCTTCAGCGTTCTTTCAATGATCTCGCCTAAGGTGGGAAGGAGACTAATTGGTCGGTAACTGTCAGGAGACTTGGCATCTTTACCTGGCTTCTTCAATACTATAATATTGGACTTTTTCCAGATCTTTTTAAAGTAATTATTCCTAATGATGGCGTTTGCCAGGTTTGCCAATGCTGTTGACGCTCTTGGAGGAAGTTCCTCAACCATTTTGCTTTTGACCCCATCGCTACCGGGTGCTTTCTTGATCTTCAGTCCCTTTATTAGTTTTGTGATTTCACCTGGGGTGACGAAATTGATGGCAGTCTTTGGCGTGGGCAAGCTCAATAATCTTTCAATCTGCCTATCTGTTGCTATTATCTCTACATTCTCCTTTTCCATTTGGTTCAATGTGAGGACTTGCTCGAGTGTGTCAGCAAATGCTTCTGCTTTTTCAGCATCAGAAAGGGCGATTACATTAAGTCCATCTATGGGAGGAATTATAGACTTGATTCTTCGTAAGGCTTTTTGCATTTGCCGTTTAATTGGCTGTGTTTAATCTCAGTTTTTCATTCCAGTTGTTATCTCGATGTTGCTGAGTGCTGCTTTCATAACATGAGAGTGTTCATTGAGTACTTGCTTTGCTTCTGGGCTTTTAATAGTGGTGTATCTTCTTCTGGGTCTTCTATTTTCTCTAATAATCTCTTGGAGGTTGGCTGAGGGAGATTGACCCTTTATTAATGTTTTTCATTTTTTATCACTGAGTTTGTTTCATAAGCGTTCATAATTACATTAGAATAAGACAGACTGTAGCTTCTTCTATTTCATTTTTTTTTCTGATCTTTGAAAGCGGAATGGTGGTCTTGAGATTATTTTTGAAGGCAGACAAGTTTGAGATCGTTTTCTTGACAATACACACTTTTTTGACCTCTACCCAACGTTAATATTATTGGGTTGTGATCTGAAAAACCACAGTTGATGGTTGCAATATCAAATTCTTGTGTAATATTTTTTAACACAGCAATGTCAAGTATTTGTGGGTTGCCTCGAGTAAGTGGAATGTACGTTGGACTTGTGGGCCCTATCACAAAGGCTCCTTGGTTCTGGGCTATGTTGCACAATAATGTACCATTTCGACATTGCTGTGTGCTGTTCCATAGAGGAGATTTGCAATTCAAATCTCCTTTGATAACCTTGGGTTTATTATCATTTAGAAGATTAGAGATGTCTACTTCTCTTAGCTGCTCTCTTGGTTTTCTATAGGCTGTTGTTGTAATGACAGTCTTGGTTCCGTTTATTGTTGCGATTATTGTCAGATTTTTGATTAGGCCTTCTTTGTGTCCAATTAAGTAGTGTGTGACGTCTTTCCTTACAAGGAGTGCCACTCCTCCTTGTCCAATAGGGTTTTCATTTCTGTAAGTTTGGTAGTCCTGGAAAGCCATAAGATGCGGCTGGTGTTCTTCCCGGAATAGCTCCACTTCTGTTTTCCGCGTACGGAGTCCGTTTACGTTCCAAGATGCGAACTTATTCATTTACGTTTTTTAAGGTATTGGTCCACTGCCTGCAGGATGGCTGAGAGAATTGTCTTCATTAGTTCAGATATTTCTGTCGCTTTGTTGTTCTGGATTGGATTTTTGTTGGCACTGGTAGTGTTCTTGACATTTATATTTTTGTTCTGGCCACCAACTTCTCCAATATCTTTTGAGCTGTAGTTAGTGGTTGTCAGTCTGCGAGGTTTAACATCGTTAAAGGCCTTTGATGCTCCATGATCGCTGGCTAAGTAGGCGATCTCCATAAAAATTGAAATTTAGTAAAGCCTTTACTAAGATTAACCTCTGTAGTTGTTTTAGAATTTCATTTATTCGTTCATCCTCCCAATCAAGATGCTGGAAGATTGAATTCTCATTCAATTATTCATCAATACTTTTTCTAGGTATTCCCAATACAATATGGAAAAATAACGGAAAAATATTTCATTAAAATTTGTTCCATGATAGTAGACGCTCAAACTCGTCTGGTAAGCTAATGTGAAAAATAATCAATGGACATTGATGTTGTCACTTCGATATGGGCAGCTCGACAAACTTCGCAGAAAACTCCACCCTGAGTGCATGCATCACTATTTTTTCTGCGACCTCAAATGCTGTTCTGAGGACAAAAATAATATATTTGAATTTTGGTTCTTTGTTGGGAGCTTCCTAGTAGTCTTCACTATTTTTTTAAGCTTCAAATAGTACTATTATAATCAAGAACAGTCATTGACGTAATGTAATGATTTACTGCATTACCTTTAGAATTTTCTGTTTTATTTTCTGAATTTTAGATTTTTCTGACTATTTGAACCACATATTCGAGAAAATATATCAGCTCCTACGTTTTCTCGTCCTGATCTATACCTATACTATATTATATAGACCCTGAGATAGGGACAGTTTAGTGGAGTAATTTTTTGATCAGTAATCAGCTGAAAATGACGACCAATCAGAAAAGTCTCCATTTTTTAATCGCTTCGAGTATGGAATAAGCTTCTTTTTCAGCTGATGAATGATTTTGTTCACACTTACTTAGTGTTCTCGAGAAAAATGCAACTGTCCTTCTTGCTTAACTCAAAACGGCAGCAATGGAATGTTCTGAAGCATCAGTCTCAACCAGAAATGGAATGTTATTTTCAATTGAAGTAACAGCTGATTTTGCAATATCCAATTTAAGCTTCTCGTAATCGTTTACACAGATTTCTGACAACGGAGAAGATTTACAAGAAACAAGTCGATGAATTTTCTCATAAAAGCAAGGTATCCACTTTGAGTAATGGACGAACATTCCAAGGTTCATCAAAGGTTATTCAAGTCTAACTGGATCAGGTTTCAAGGGATTATTCTCGATCAGATATCCAAAAAGTTTGATTGAGGAGTAAGAACTTTTCTTTTCGTGTATAGTAAAATAATTGTATTTTCTTACAACGAGTAAAAAGTCTTTTAAATTTTTATCATGGTCTGCTTGATTTCTACCGCATATCTTAATATCATGTAAATATGCATGGGCATCTTCAGGATTCTCTGATTTTATTATGTAGTCTATTACCCGCTGAAAACACCCAACTCCGTTTGTCACACCAAAAGGAATTCTTCGGAACTGATATAATTCACCATCTGCCTCAAAAGCAGTATACTGCTTTTCGTCGTCACGTATGGAAACTTGGTGCTGTAGATTTTC